ATGAATCGAGAAATCGGGTCGGCGATCGACATGAATCGGATCGGCGGGAATCGGCAGCCGGGTCGGGAGAAGTGCGGTCGGTGGAAATCTGAAGGCTTGTCGGCCAGTGAGGCCTCAGCTCAGAAATCGGAGCCCACATCGGAATCCCAAGTCGAATCGAAATCGATCTTCCCTCGGTGGAGGCACACCGCCGATGTCTGAAGGGGCCCTGGGACACACACACACACAAATAAATAGACACAAATAACATAATTCCCAATATGTTACTATAAATTCTGGGTTTTTGTCTTCCCCCCACCTCCCATATTTTCCCATATTTTCTGGGGAATCGACGATTCATGGTGTCTGTGTTTTTTTCCTTCCTGAGTGTCAACCGCTAGGCCTGCGATTGGTTGCCTGGGCTCACCGCCGGTATGCCGTGCACAGGTGCGCTGCCCGCACGGCCCTCCGTGGGGCCCCCGCAAGGCCAACGGCTGCGGTGGGGCAGCGCTGCTGCAAGCCCGTCCCTCTCGCCCCCTGCCACGGCAGGTTCCGTCGGGTACAGGACGATGAACCCATACCCCCTCGAGTTGTGAAAAAATCGCGGACGGAGACTGTTAGCTACTTTCGGCCTCTGGGGGACCTTATCGGCCCTCGGGAAAAGACGGCCCAGGACGAAAAAACGATCCCAGGGAATCGGTCGAGACTTCTGGGGGTCGACGTTCTGAACAAAAATCATGACGTGCCGACTTCAGCGATGGGTCCCGACACCGCGGGGATCGTTCAACCTTGAACGATCGGCCGTTTCCGAATCGTCGGATCCCCCGATGCCAACCGATCCTGCGTCGCCAGCGGCGTTCAACGCCGAACGCCGGCGGCGGGGTCGCCGCCGGACGGCACGGCGCGAACCTGCCGTGACGCAGGCGTGGTGCCCACCCTCCTGGGCCATCTGCCCCTGGCCCTCCTCCTACTCCTCCTCCTCCTCCTCCTCCTCTTCCTCCTGCTCCTCCTCCTCCTCCTCCCTCCCTCCCTCCCTCCCTCCCTCCCTGCCTGCCTGCCTGCCTGCCTGCCTGCCTGCCTGCCTCCTTCCCTCCCTCCCTCCCTCCTCCATCCTCCCTTCTCCCCCCTGCTTTTGGCTCCTGCCATTCGACGCCAAATCGACGCGGGCCGGCGCTGTTCGACCGTTCATCGACACTGCATCTGTGCTATCTCATCGATTACCAGGCGCTAGTCGACGCTACAGTTTGATTTAGGCCAGAAAGACATCGTTCAAGAACGTGAGACCCTCTACCGGCCCGAACACATAAAACATCTTAGATGACCCTCCCCAGGATGCGCAAGAACATCCAATCAGCACGAGGCACATGAGGGTACGCTCCCCGAACTGACTTCGATCTGATGCCTCTGTCCGAGTGTGTTCGACGTTAATCGACTCTACATCGGCGCTATCTCATCGATCACCAGACGCTAGTCGTCGCGAAATCGACGCGGATCGATGCTGTTCGACGTTCATCGACGCTACATCGGCACTATCGCATCGACTACCAGACGCTAGTCGACGCTAATCGACGCGAAATCGGCACGGATCGACACTGTTCGACGTTCATCGACGCTACATCGGCGCTGCCTCATCGACTACCTGGCGCTAGTCGACGCGACTCGACGCTAGTCGCCGCGAAATCGACGCTAAGGTCGGTCGTCTCGACCGGGGCCGCGGGGCGTCCTGCACCGCCCAGAAAGACTTCGGCGAGCCCTCGACGAGGGGCTCTGCCTCCCAGCGAGGCTGGGGTCGGGGGGGGGGGCGCGGCGGGGGTCTCGGGCAGGGCTCCAGCTGAAGAGTGTGTTCCGTTTTCTCGTGTGGTTTCCTCGACTCTCGCCCTGTCCTCGTTCCACCTCGCGGCTGCAGGGACAAGACGACGGCCCACGGAATCGCAAACAAAAAAACACCGTTTAGCTCGAGCCCTGTCGTGGGGGGCGGGGCGGCGGGAGGCGGCGGGGGCGAAGGGCGGCGAGGGCGGCGGGATGCAGGAGGGAGGCGAGTACGATGATGAAGTTCAGGAGGAAGAGGAGCAGCAGCAGGAACTGGGGGAGGGGTGGCTTGCGGGAGAAGTGGAGGAGGGGGAGCACTCGCACCGTCGCCATCACCAGCAGCAGCGGCAATTATGCAGGCAGGATCAGGACAGGCGAGGCCGAGGAGGGCGAGGGGGGGCCAGCCATAGACGTCTACATCCTCGCCGGCCGTCTGCAACACGCTGGTGATGTTGCAAGCCTGACGTACCCCGAGAAACCGGACGAGAAAGAATACGGCCATTGGGACGCCACGGCCGCTGGGGCCTGCGGTCGAAGAGGACGAAAAGGAGGAGGAGAAGGAGGAGGAGGAGGCGGAGGAGGAGGAGCAGGAGGAGGAATAGGACGAGGAGGAATAAGAGGACGAGGCTAAGGGCAAGTGTAAAGTTCACAGGAGGAGGACGAGGAGGGAACTAAGGAGGAGGAGGAGGAGGTAGGGGGTAAAACAAATGTGGCGAAGAGGAGGAATTGGAGGAGGAATTTTAGGAGGAGGAGGAGGAGGAGGAAGACGACCGTCGCGCGGTTGAAGGGGATTCGAGCTGGTCAGTTCACTGCTGCACTCGCCGTACCCTCTCCCTCGTCTGGGGGGTGGGTCTCCTGCTGTTGTCGTAAGATGTATGCGTGCAGGGGCATTGGCGCTTGAACCTGCGGCGCCGCGTTGAAAGTACTCCTGGGCTACCTCCCGCTGTCGATGGGGCGCCACTAAATATCGTTTCCCGGTCTGGAGGAGACTTGGTTGCGCTCGCTGGCCAGGAGACGGGGATTATATTCTGCAAGTTTCCCGCATCTGGAGCAGCTGATACTAAAAGAACCGCCTAGGACAGCCCCCGGCACGAAGAGGCGATGCCCAAGGGGGCGTGCACAAAGCGAAGCGAGTTGGGCAGCGTAGCCGACGCACGGTGTATCCTTCCTGGTTGCCGATATCTCTCGGCTGTCGATACACATAAACGGTTACCCGCAGCCTCCCATCTGTGAGCCCTGCTCTCGCTTCGCTGCTGGCGAGGTGGGTTTGGAGGCGGCGGGGTGGTACTGGGCTGCGCGGGGCGTCAAGTGCCCTGTACGGCCTCCGCGCCGATGGTCGGCGACAAGCTCTGGACCGGCGGGGGACAAATTTTCCTGGAGCCGCTGGGCCCTATGGGGGGGCCCTCCTGCAGGGCGAGGGCAACACATAAACGATACTTACTAAGAAGCTTGCAATCTTGAGCATGGTCTTCGACCTTTCCCTCGGAGGGTCGAACGAACGCTCTCGAGGCGACGCCAGCAAAACGGTCGGCCCCTTGATTGTCCGCGATGTCTGCCCATTCGGGGGACCCCGCTGGCGCTGCGTCGGCTCTGGTGGGCTCTGACCTTGCAAAGCCTGAGGTGCGGGTGCCAGCCTATGGCAGTTCTTGCTAGAAGGCCTATACTAGAGTATCTGTTATTTCTGGTGAGCCCCGACTCATAAAGATCTAAAGCCCTTGGCAGTCTACCGAGATCTCCGTGACTCGAGAGAAGAATGGCACAGCAGCAAGCACAGCAGGGTGCTCAGCGGCGGGGGAGGATTGGGGAGACCTCGGCCTACCTGTCCAGTTAGGGCGGCGACGGCTTCGCCCTCTGCATTGGTTTGGACAGCTGCCCAGCCCGCTGCGAGGTGGGCCTTGCTACCTGGCTTTAAACAAGACCCGTCCGCGGAGATTTTGCCCGCGAAACTGGTTTCGGGCGCGGCCTCGGGATCCGCGGACTAAAACTTGGCTCGGCCCAAACCCGGGGCCGCAAGGGCCCCGATGTCAAAATCGGGTTCGACCTGGAAGCCCGCCACTAAAGAGAAACCAGCCTGGCTCGACAGGGTCTCCAGCTCCTCGTGCGAGAACCGGTTGGTCCAATGGGCCTCAATCACAGGGCATCTCAGAAGTCGGCGAGGTAGGTCGTCTGTCTCCGCCCCGCACGTGCACCTCCCGTATTTTAGCTCGTAGCTCGCAGCTCGGAAGCCTGGTTTGGTCCAAATGGCCTGGCACAGGAATGCGAGGGGGGTGGTATTCTGGACTTTCGCTAAGGCGGCGGATGAGAAACTCTTCTGGGCCATAGACGTCGAGCGCGGCGCCCTCGAGGCCCAGTTCGGGGGGTGCATGCTGTAGAGGCCTTCCATCCCAAGTCTGCTGGAGGGGGCCTGGATGCGCTGGACAGGATAAGCCGGGTTCCTCCGAGGTCCTGGAGGACGAGCGGGGGCGCGAACACCCGCTGGATGCGTTGGATACTCAATTAGGCGGCGCCAAGCGGTCCTCGACAACTGCTCCACTTAGCTGGAGGGTTGTCCAAAACCTCCCGGCACATGGAGCGCAACTCTGCGCGGCCGAAACCGCGCGACGCGGCGCCCGTCGACGCCCGCCAGACAAGCTGGCCCCACAATGGAACAGGGCCAACTGCTGGTCTCCAGCAGGGGCCCCCTAAGATTCACAGCGCCGGACTCCTTGAGCGAGCGGTGGCCCCTGGGCCCGCGTTCTCCAGGAAGAGCCGTGGAAGTGGGCCTGGTGGAGGCCTGTGCTGTAAACCCTCTTGGTGTCCCCTTGGGCCTTCTTGATGCTGGCGAGCCTCGAGGCCTTCGTTATGTGCTTGGCGTGCCGGGCCCTGAGGGTAGATTTTCCGATGCCTTGTCTGCGAGCAAGCCCCGAGTGGAAATCGATGCCGCGGTCCGGGGCGCCTTGGGCCTTCTGCTGTGGGCCCGCGCATTTTCCGAGCTCCATCTCTAGGCGCTCCCGGGCGCCCCTGGACGAGGCGAAGGCCGCTGACTTCTTCTCGGCGGCCCGGCACTGCAGGTCGCGCTTGGCGGCCGCGAGCAACTGGAAGCGCCGGCGGAGCAGCGCTGCCGCGAGCTGCCTCTTGCACGAGTGAACGACTGCAGCATAATCTCATCCATGAAGAGGCTGAGCTGAACGCGCGGGCGCGCTAGAACCCACTTCTGCAAGGGCCGCTTGCAGTGCGTCTGGACTAGATGCGCTGCGAAACCACGCCCCGCTGGGACGCCTCGACACGGGGATACCAGATTGCACGGTATGATTGAACGCGGCGCACCTGCGCGATTGAAGCCGATTCAGTGCGACGGCGAGGATGGTTGTGTTAAGTCCGCTGGCTTCTGCTCGTGCTTGTAGTCTTTGTTTTTGCCCTGCTGATGTGCCCGCAATATTTGAGAATGCCCGAAAGAACCGAATCGGTGCGCGGGGGCTCTGGCTGGTGGCTGCGCTGCTCTGCGTGGAGGGACCGCTGATCTACTAGCTCGAATATACTGCGGCCTGCCTGGCGCGCCAAGAAGCTGCAGGGGTTCTCGCGCCGCCATTTCCAGGCTGCACTCAGTCTGACTTTCGCCCGTGTCCGATGCGGCCCTGGGGGCAACCCCATGCTTCGATAAGCTGGCCACCCGTGGCCTTCAGTTTCGGGATCAGGTTCGTGGGGGCGGCCAGGATCTGGGCGGGCATGGCCCCCATCTGCTCTGCGCGCATCAAACAATTACCGAAGACCAGGAGCTGCTGGTCTCCGAGTAGCGCGCGGTGCTTCGGGTGGACTCCGCCCCAGGTCTGACAGGTCTGGCAACTGACAATCCTGACTGGTTTCCTGAGGACCTCTGGGGCGATGGGGCTGAGTTTCGCGGCGCCCTCTGGCCGCGGTCGGTATGTGTGGAGCTGCGGGGGCCACGCCCCCCAGGAGGTCGGCGAGGCGGCCCGGCCCGCGGCGGGGGGGGGGACCGAGGGCTGCCCCGCCAATCGGCTGTCCTCGGCATTGACTTCGTGCGGTCTCCAACAGGCGGCGCACTTGGACCATCTGCGGGCCCGCCCCGCCCTGCGGGCCAGTTGTTCCTGGGCCCACTGTTTCCATGCCGCCGTCGATTAGACACTTTCTCCAGGGCGCCCCCGGTCGAGGAAGTTTCAGACGCCCCCCTGACACTGGCTGAAAATGGCGCGAGCATGCCAGCAGACTGGGGAGAGGCCCGCGCGCTGGGCGCCCAGCGCGAGGGCGTCGAGCAACTGGCGACACCTGTTCAGGGCGGATTGCGATTCCGTCGCAAGCTGGAACTCCAGCGGCTCATCCTGCAAGGTGGACTGAGCGTCTTTTTTAACCGAGGAAAGCTGAACGCGAGCTGCACGCGAGGCGTCGACCACTCGGCTGGAGGGCCAGCGGAGCGGGCGGGCGCAAGGCTGCCCGCTGGCTCTGTGCTTCGCCTCTTCCACTGCAACGGGAACCCAGGCGATCTTAGGAGGTTGACATCTCTCGCCATGGCATCTGAGTAGGGCATCTGTCTGCTGAGCTGCTGGGACCTCCAAGTCCAAGATTTGGACGTCGAAGGCCGCGTCTAGGGCTTCCGTGCGCTGCTGCTGCTGGATGCTGGGGTCCACGGAGATCTGCTGGAGTCGCTGCGCGGCTGAGGCAGAGCGGGTCCACTCTAGGGGCTCTGAGGCGGGGCCAACTGGGCGCCTGGTGAGTAGCTGCTGACGCTTGACAAGACTGGGGGCCTGAGGGTGCTGAACCATGCTGAACTGCGCGGCGACTGGCGGCATGGCGAAAGCGGGTAGTTCGGTGGCGCGCTGACGCTGCAGATGGAGTCTCCAATGACCCTGCTGACCAATAAATACTCCAACTGGGACTGGCTCTTCTGAGTGAAATACATGGGTCCCTTGGGGCTGGCGATGACGAGGTCTCCTCGGTCCGCCAGGCCTGTCTTGCTGATGACGGAGGGAGGCACGTTGAAGTCGGCCGCGGCAAACAGTGGCATGTGGCGGTGGCTCTGCATCCCCCCGATGGCCGCCAGCAGCTCCAAATTCTGCTGGCCCAGGCCTGTGGAGTCTTCGCTGTATAGGGAGAGCAGGATGACAGGAGAGTGACCTGACAATTCCATGATACACTCTGCTGAAGGGGGGGATATGAGGAGGGAGGGCAGCTGGGTGGACGCCGAAATTGAGGCCCGCGCGAACTAAAATGGCTGTGCCAGCCGTCAGTCGATCGGCGTCGCTCATGACGCAATCGGATACTACAGCGTGCCAACCTTTCGTCTGACACCACTGGGTTGCGCGCGCGATGCGATCCCCTTGGAGACGAATCTCCTGGCAGCACACCGCGATGACATTCTCTACGAATGAACAGGCGACAGAACTTCTGACAGCTTCCCAACAGCTGCCATTGATAGTGACGATCCTGGAGGTGTTACCCTGACGACCCTCCCTTCCCTTCTCCTTTGGCGGCCTCCGCGAGGCTGCGGGGCTTCGTGGATGTGGTCGCCGCGGGGTCCCCTGCTGCCTGGATGGCTTTACAAGTCTTTTCCAGGGCTGCTGCTGTGTCTGTTTGGCCTCGCTTGTTGCTGTTGGACTCGCCCATGGTACCTTCGGATCCCGCTGAAGTTCCTGGGGTGGCTGGCTGAATCTGCTGCGGGGTCCCAGGCTGCTGCTGCTGCTGCTGCTGCTGCTGCTGCTGCTGCTGCTGCTGCTGCTGCTGCTGCTGTGGCTCGGTCTCCTTGTGGGGCGCGGCGGAGTGGGCGGGGGCTGCTGGGGCTGAGGCCCGGGGCGGCTGCGCCGCCGACCCTTCGCCTGCTGGCGGTGCCGCCTCGGCTGCCGCCGCGAGCTGCGCCCGCGCCGCCTCTGCGTAGGCTTGGGCGAAATGGTGCTCCAAGCTGCGGACCTGGTCCAGGATGCTCTCTGGCACCCCGATGACAGGGCCAGGCTTGAGTTGGCCCATGAACTGCGTGACCTTGGGAAAGAAAAAGTGATCCTGAGGTGGTGCCGCCTGTTCCGCGGCTGTCCTGACTGTGGCCGCCAGCTGGCTCTCCAACTGCGCGAGCTCCTTGGCGGCTGCCTGCTTCTCGCTGTCCAGCGAAGTGGCCTTGTCCGCCAGAGCCGAATCTCGTTGACGTGAGCGGTGATCTGGCCGGAGCACGTCTGGACCTTGCCTTGGGCTGAAACGACCTGATCTCGAAGAGACTGGCACTGCTGCTTCGCTTGCTTGAGAGTCAACGGTTTTGGCATAGTTTTCCCCTCCGGCCTCCTCGCGGGCTTTCCAGAAAGCGCAGAGGTCCTGGAAGGGTGCCCAAAAAATGCCCGAGCGATCCCCAAGAGCCCCTCAAGAGGCCCCCAAAAGGCACCCAAGAGGTTTCGCAGAGCCCCCCCCAGAGACACCCCAAGAGTTATGTTGTGCATCGCACTTAAGGATCACATCCAAGAAATAATTCCGAGCACCCAGAAACATGTCGAAAGAGTGTCGAACAGTGTAGGACGAGTGTTTCCCAGGGCCCGACGCGTGATAGCCCTTAAGTTTCGGTATGTTTTGATGCTCGAATAGATGTCTGGTGATTAAGGCTAAAGTAGGCTGGAACATCATAAGCCAAGAGGCCTAGGGATGCCTGCAAGGGGCCTCTGGCCCACTGAGGCTACCCGAGAGAGATATCCCGATGATGCCATGCTCCCACGATAAGGGCAGTCCCCCTGGGCATCGTAGCCTGGATGAGCTGGTGGGGATATGCGAAGCCTCAATATTAGATCTCATCGACTCCACCAGTGCACGCGCGGCAGACACGATAACGATACAGGCCATGCAAGGATCAACCCCGATCCAGCGGCGGAGCTGGCAGCGGGTCGTGCATTACCACCTTGAAACACGCGTAGGTAAACATGGAGCAGCTCATGGAGCACCTTCAGAACGGCAGCGGTCTGCAGCAATACTGGCTACGGAGGAGGGTGGGTCGAGGATGGAGGAGAGAGTAGTGAGGAATATGAGAAGACCAACCAGCATAAACATGAGCTTTCGAGGGTCTGCACATATTTCTTGAATCGGCGCTGGAACCCCCATCCCTGGCTCGCGGAGCGCGCCAGGGGCAGCGCCAGGTGCGCAGTCAGCAGGGCTCCAGCGCCGATCCAAGACATCTGCCCAAAACTCTGAAAAAAACATGTTTATGCAGATTTGTATGCTCGAGGGAAAGAAGAATCGAGGAGACGGAAACTCGGGTTCGGGGGACTCGGGCCGGCCTGACGGGGCCATCGTGGAAATGACGAGACCCAACCTGAAATCCGACGCGAGCTCCCGCTGCAAACATCCCACGAAAACTGGGAAGTCAAATCCAAGACGCGCTCGTCAAAAAGCGTTGGCCAATCCGACATCCGGCGTACTCGAGTCTTACGTTTCCCCAGCAGGAGAAGGAGCCAAGCATAGGCCTGGCCAGGCCTGGGATGTCGGGAGCCTCCTGACGCGCTTGGCTCGGCTCCTCCTCCTCCTCCTCCTCCTCCTCCTCCTCCTCCTCCTCCTCCCTCCGTAGCCATTTTGGCTCAAGTGAGTCAGGCAGCGGGAGGCCCACGCACGGCGGCGCGCGCCCAGCTCGCGCTTGGCGCGCGCATGTGGCCCATGGCGGACCCCGAGCCCGACGGCAAGCGGCGCTGGGCTGCGGCGTCGGCGCGCACGCTGGCCAGGCGGCGCCGACGCGCATGGCGCGCCGCTGTCGGCGAGTCGCGGGCGCTGGCCATCAGCAGGAGGGTTGACATTTTCAGGAGGTCGCTTGGGGCCCATTGGGCCCTAGGCGACGCGCTGGGCGGCCATGAGGCCTCGATCATGGCTGCGGTGGGAGCGGCCAAGCTCATCGGCCTGGACGAGCTCGCGGCGCTGGCCGAGGAGCTCGGCATCTCGGCCAACTGGGCTCGGCACGCTGCACCGCCTGGCCTGGCGCGGCTCCGCAAGGTTCCCTCGGGGATCGTGGCGACGGAGCTGGAGAAGTTCCGCGCCCGACTCCATTCCCCCGAGTTCGTGGTGGTCACCTCGCTGATGGCGGAGGCGCGCCCGTCGCAGTGCGACGACGGGGACGAGTTGGAGTCGGAGAGGCAGCATGAGCAGGCCGTTCAGACGGCGCTGGCGTCCACCAGCGGCAACGCCGGCGAGGGCTTGGAGGTGGCAGCAACGGCTTCCGAGGTCGAGGAGGGCGTCGCCCCCAGCTGCCCCGACTACCAGCATGAGCGCGGCAATGAGCAGGAGTACGAGGATCTGACGATGCGCCCCGACGTGGTCGATGCCGTGGTGGATGGCGACCCCAGGGGCGAGGACATCGGCCTGCTGGATGCCGTGCTGGATGTGCCCGCTGGCGGCCTGAGCATCGGGACTGGCCCCGCTGGCGAGAATCTGAAGGAGGAGCCGTGCGTGTTCGACGTCACGGACGAGGAGCCGATGGACCCTGCGGTGCTCGCGCCCGTGCGCGCGATGGAGCGCGCCGTCCCGCGGGCAGCCCCTGGTGTTCCGCCGAGGGGCTTGGTCGAGCAGTGGGGCCACGTCGGCAAGAATCCGGAGCCAGCTGGCAGCCCGTGCGATCGTTGGGCAGCCCTGGCTGGCGATGAGGACGACGGCATCGGAGAGTACGACGCCAACCCCGTCCATTTCGGCGGCACGGTCCATGCGTGTGCGCCCATCGCACGGTCCCCCGTTGTACACGCCCCTGACGAGAAGTCGATTGGTGTGAGAGGCAGCGGCGGTCTGTGAGTGGCGCGAGGCGCAGCTGTGCTGGCAGCGGCGTCACCGCTCGGCCGCTCCCTGAGTGGCATCCCGTTCGTCGCGATGCTGCTGGGCGCGTGCTTCGTGGTCTACGTCGCGGCTGGGCGGGGGAGGAGCTCCCACAGGCTCGTGTCCTGTGGGCCTCCCCCGAGGCCAAAAGACGCAACTCATTGTTGCTCCGCTTGAGTCCCGCTTGAGTCCTCCTCCTCCTCCCTCGTCCTCTTCCTCCTCCTCCTCCTCCTCCTCCTCCTCCTCCCCCTCCGCCTCCTCCTCCTCCCAGATCTATCTCCTCCCCCTCCTCCTTCTCCTCCTCCTCCTCCTCATCCTCCTCCCTCCTCCTCCTCCTCCTCTATCTCCTCCTCCTCCTCCTCCTCCTCCTCCTCCTCCTCTTCCTCCCCCTCCTCCTCCTCCTCCTTCTCCTCCTCCTCCTTTTCCTCTTCCTCGAATATCACGTTCCTCCTCCTCCTCCTCCTCCTGGAATCTCACGTTTCCCCGGGAGGAGGGGCAGCAGGGGGATCCGGGACAGGAGCAGGAGCACGAGCGCGGCGGGGAGGAGGGAGGAGGCCTGCAGCCACGCGAGCGTGCCCTCCTTCATGGCCGCCTCGGGCATCTCTCCCACCACAATGTAGGCCTCAGTCGCCCAGGCCCGGACGGCCATTCCTCGTGCGCTTTTGGATGTCGCGCGTGTGTTGTTCGAGCAGTGGCGAAGCGTCCCTGCTCGCCTATATGCCCACCGGAGCATGCTCTAAGAACATGTAGTGGTCTGCACGAGATGCTATTGGAACATTTCTGGCTGAGACTGTCTTGTTATCACACATCGAGTGAATGTTCTAGGAACATTGTTGCTGTTCTTAGAACATGTTTGGATTCTGAGAACATCTCGTGGCAGGACTATCGGAATGCCGGGACGGTCGGTCCCTGCTCACGTTGTTGTTTGCGAGATGGCCCCCGATGCTACTCGATGGTCCTCGCCGAAGAAGCGATGCACGCGTCGCGCGTCCGAGCGACGCCAAGTATAGGAAAGAGAACTATGCACATACACCGATTCTGGCCAGGACCATCCTGAGCCCAGGATCGGTGCATACGCCCTCTTACCTTGGCCAGGAAGGTATATGCATCGATCCTGGGTCAAGAATGGGCGTTGTGAGGATCGGTGCATGTGCATAGTGCTCTTCGCCCGACCACGCTGAAAGGAGACCGGGTCGGAGAGCTTGCGGATTTGGACGCCCGAAATGGGCACGGAAAGAATGGGCACAATGCCCAACAACAAACGTTGTCCCAAACCAGCAGCGGCCGCTGTTGGGCAGGCGGCCTTCTGTCTCCGATGGACACAGGCCGCGGCGGCGCGGACAGCGGGCCCTGTTCAAAATGAACAGGAACTGCTGTTGGGCATCGTACCCATTCTTTCCGTACCCACTTCGGGCGTCCGGAGCGGAGCACCGCGGCGCCCGTCCTCCCGGGCAGCCTCCTCGTAGTCCGCCTCCGCCGACCTCCTCCTCCTCCTCCTCCTCCTCCTCCTCCTCCTCCTCCTCCAGCATGGCAGGCCCTCGGGCTGCGCACGGACAGCCCCCCCAGGTCCAGGCGGACCTAGGCTTTAAGTCGGGCCTGTCCCACTGCAGGGGGATGTGGGGCGAAACATTAAACATGCTAGAACAATTCTCTCATAATGCCAAAACACAATCTCAAAAAATCGTCTCCAGACGATGTTGCGACTATTTTTGAATAACCCTCCTGTAGAGGGACGGGCCCGACTGAAACCTAGGCCAGAAGAACTTCCCTTGGGAGCATCAGACCCTCCGCAGGCCAAAGCACGCAGAACATCCAAGGTGCACACGAAGAACACCAGGGCACCCTCTCCGAACCGACCTCGATCTTATACTTCGGTCCGACTGTAATCCTCCACCAACCTCCTCGTCTCCTCCAGCATGGTAGGGCCTCGGCAGGAGGGCCCAGAATCGAATCGATAAGTCGGATCTGCAATCGAAATGACTCGGATCGGCGGAAATCGGCAGACTAGTATGCCACCAATGAGAAATCGGAACACAAATCGGAATCCCAAGTCGGACTGAACCGGAATTGGAAGCAATCGAAATCGAATCGAATCGGAAGAATCGAAACGAGCCCTGGGCCTCGGGTTGCGCACCGACAGACCCCCCCAACAGTCCAGGCTTGCCTCGCAACAGGGCTCCCCGAGCAGTCGGGGCGGTCTTAGCACCTCAGCCCTGGGGCGCAAAGGGTGTTGAGAGAGGGGGGCCCTGTTGAGGCACGCCGGGACTACCTGGGGGGGGGGCCTGCCTGTGGGCAGCCCGAAACTTTACCTCTCCAACATGCACCAAGATATACACATCGCAGATTCCCCTCGTCTTCTTCCTCGGCTGGACGCCCCCCACAACACAACGACAAGCGCGTCACCGCGTGCCGAAAGTTCGACAAAGCAAACGGTCAGGGGACCAACGATGAGAGGATGGCCCACAGAGCACGCACTCAGCTAGAACGACGTCCGCCTGCGAACCCTGAGGACGCGCCCCACTTTCGCGTCGCAGCTGGCGTACCTCGACAGCAAACGCCTTCGATACTTCATCGGCAAGCTTTGTGCTGCTTGGTTAAGACAGACACCTTCCGCCACTGCCATTGACCACCATAACTGGCCACTAGCACTCAAAAGGTGACTTCCAAAGATCAAGCCAAACGTCCGCATGGCTGCTTTAAAGAAGCCACCAACCGCAGATCGATCAAGTTGCTCGCAACATCGTGCGGGTGGGACCGAGATTATGCAATTGAGGTCATGCGGGATGTTATGTGGGGGAGCGGCTTGCACTCGGGACTACGCTTAGGTCGGGCGTGTCCCCCCAGAGGCGGATTGTGGACGAAACAAAAAACATAGTCAAACAACAATCTACAATTGTAATTAAAAGCCATAGAAATCCCACATAAACTTTGATTACTTTTGAATATTCCTCCTGTAGAGGGACATGCCCGACTTAAGACTACGCAGCCGAATCGGCCGATGCCGCGCGGAGACATCTGAATGCATCCTCGGATCGACCAGACGGTGGGCAACCCCTGCACTCCTCCGAATTGTCCCCTGAGCCGCAGCGGTGCCCACGGAAAACCCAATCTGGCGCCAGTGCGACCGAGCTGACGCACTTTTTGTGGTACTTGTGGTACCAATCAGGAACGCTGCATCAAGGAACGAAGGCGCTTTTGTGGCTACGGTGAGCCTCGGCCACGAAGAGGCTACCCGATCCAAATCTGAGGAGCGGCCCCAAACACAGGGCCCATCCTGAGCCCAAACGGGCCGTGAATTCGGCGTCTTGGCTGCATCAATACTTACGCAGTACGAAAGATTTTCCTCTTGAGGTGAAATGGCCATGAGGAGTTCGCGAGACAACGTCGGCGCCGCCGAACGGACGGCGACCAGACGAGCTGTTTGCAGCATCCGGGGTGAGAGGGATGTATGTGTTCATGTTGAATGGGGCCCGCTCGCGCGGGGAGTTGATGGGAGTGCGCAAGACGACGCACTGCCCATCGTTGAAAGTTGATTACCGAACCCCCCATCCCCCGTAGAATCTTAACACGGGCGGTTTGCGGGGTCCGCGGATCCGATTTCTTCCGGCTCCCTGTTTTAATTTAATAATATACATTAAGAACAGGGTAGTAATCGGATCCAACGCTAAAAAACCGAACACGGATCCAGCAAATCCGAAATCGGATCCGCGCGGACGGAAATCGGATCCACTGAAACATAAACCAAAACCAAAATTGGATCCGCGTGAACTTCATTGGATCCAGAAAATCCGAAATCGGATCCGCGCGGACGGAAATCGGATCCACTGAAACACAAACCAAAACCAAAATTGGATCCGCGTGAACTTCATTGGATCCGACGGCGGGTATCTCACACGCGTCTGCTTAAGACTTCAAACCTTCGCTCCGGGCCCAAGAGGAAAAAACTTTCGTCCTGGGGATGTAGGTCGGGCCTGTCGCCCTGCAGGGGGATTTTGGACGAAAAAATCAAAATACTCAAAAAATACTCAACAGATGCCCCAAACATACTCAAACAGTAGTCCCCAGACTATTGCATGACTATTTTGGAATATTCACCCTGTAGACGGACAGGCCCGACTTAATCCCAGAAATTCGCGCGAAGCTTTGTCAGTTTTTTCTCGGATGGAAGAGCAGGGTCCAGCGCCGATCCCAGAAATCCGCGCGGAGCTCCAAAATGTGTTTCCTGATAGCGCTTCGCTCGAGGATCCTAACGACGGTAACAAAAATAACGGAAGAGGCCCACAGGGGGCACGAGAAGCTCGAGAGCGCCTGGTCCAGCAACTGGTTCGCCTAACACCTCCTCACAATGTATTCAAGACACCCGCTCTCGCCGCAATGCCCGCTGCATCTTTGGTCCGGACGGCCACGATGCCTTGCAAAACATACGCCAAGATGCACAGGGCCGTGCTCTCACACCTGTCCAGGCTGCATCATGTCTTCCTCAAAGCCTCTGGCGCCCACGCGGCGTCCACGGCCACCCACCAGGCGAAACCCCTTCACACCCGTCCAAGACCAGAGCGGAACCAAGAGGAGGAGGAGGAGGAGGAGGAGGAGGAGGAGGAGGAGGAGCAGGAGGAGGAGGAGGAGGAAGAGGAGGGGGAGGGGGAGGAAGAGAAGGACGAGGAGGAGGAGGAGGAGGACGACGACGACGAAGACGAGGAGGAGGAGGGGGAGGAGGAGGAGGGGGAGGTGGGGGAGGGGGAGGAGAGGAGGAAGAGGAGGGGGAGGAGGAGGACAGAGACGAGGAGGGGGAGGAGGAGGTAGAGGAGGAGGGGGAGGGGGAGAGGAGAACGAGAACGAGGAGGAGGAGGAGGAGGAGGAGGTGTAGGAGGAGGAGGGGGATGATCGAAGGAGCCGAAGATTGGCTGCGGCCACGCGCTGGCCCCAGGCCGAGCCTGGCGATCGGGTGCGGGCACCAACGAGAAGATGGGCTTGACGTTCGCCCTCGCCGCGGGGGTGCGCCAGGAGGAGGGGAGGAGGAGGACGAGGAGGAGAGGAAGGAGAAGGAGGAGGATGAGGAGGAACAGGAGGAACAGGAGGAGCAGGAAAAGGAGGGGGGAAGGAAGAGGAGGATGGGGGGGAGGAGGCGGAGGAGGGGGAGGAACGAAGCGGTGCCAGAGGCGGACGGATGGCGAGGGGAGGAATGGAGGGAAGAAGGCGGAGGTTGTACGTTGGCGTTGGAGAGATGGCGTGCAGCATCGATCTCTGGAAGGCACGCAATCCCTGTGAGGCGAGATCCCCCTGCGAAGGCGTCTTCTGTGCACGCCCCCCTGCCAGGGCTTCTTTAGTGCACGCTGTCCCCTGGGTGCGGGATAAGTGTAAGAAGCGGGCTGGCAGCGTCACAGCGCACGCCATTTTCCCAACGCCAATCGTAGGAAGGAGGATGAGGAGGAGGAGGAGGGAGGAGGAGGAGGAGGAGGAGAAGGAGGAGGAGGAGGAGGAGGGGGAGTAGGAGGAAGAGGAGGAGGAGGAGGAGGAGGATCAGGAGGAGGAGGAGTAGGAGGAGGATCAGGAGGAGGAGGAGGAGGAGGAGAAGGAGGAGGAGGGGGAGGCAAGAGACGTATGGGGGACGAACGAACGACACGCTCCATCGGCCGCCCCGAGACCACGCGGGAGGCCCCGACACCATGCGGGAGGCCCCGACGCCACGCTCACATGCAGGGGCTCGCGTGGTGCCGGGCCCTTGGGTGGCCCCGACGCCAAGCAGGAGACCCCGACACCATGCGGGAGGGCCCGACAAGCCCCGGGGGACCCCGACACCACGCGGGAGACCCCGACACCACGCGGGAGGCCCCGACACCACGCGGGAGGCCCCGACACCACGCGGGAGGCCCCGACAGTCCCCTGGGGACCCCGACAGACACCACGAAGGAGACCCCGACACCACGCGCGAGGCCCCGACATTACGCAGGAGGCCCCGATAAAGGGTTGCATTGGCCCCGCCGGGGACCCCGACACCACGCGGGAGGCCCCGACACCACGCGGCAGGCCCCGACACCACGCGCGAGGCGCCGGGGAACCCCCGCACCACGCGGGAGACCCCGACCCCACGCGGTAGGACGCGACACCAAGCTAAAATGAAGGGTTTGCGTGGTGTCAGGACCCTGGGGCACCGCGTGGAAAAACCGACAACACGCAGGACGCCCCGGCATCACGCCGGCGCCCCCGACGCTCCCGACGCACGCCACGCGCGAGGCCCCGGACACCGCGCGGAACAGCCCGGGAGACCCCGACAAGCCGAGGACCAGGCCCCGACGAGCCAAGGTCCTCGCGCTCCTGCATGACGCTTCTGAGCTCCAGACGCTCCCCACGCTCCAGACGCTCCCGACGCTCCCGACGCTCTCCACGCTCCCCACGCTCCAGACGCTCCCGACGCTCCCGACGTTCATCCCCGACGTCCCCGTCGTCCCCGACGCCCCTGAGCTCCCGTCGCCACGCGGAAGGCTCGACACCATGCGGGAGGATGCCCCCCGATGCACGCGGGAGGCCCCGAGACCTTGCTAAGACAGAGGGTTCGCCCGGTATCGGCGTCTCCCAGGAGGCCCCGACACCATGCTAAAATGAAAGCCTCGCGCGGTGCCAGGGCCCCGCCAGGGGCCCCCGACACCTTGCTAGAACGGAGGGTTTGCCTGGCGTCGGGCCTGGGAGACCGCGCCCGACACCTCGCGGGAGAGACCGCGACGCCACGCGGAGGCCCCGACACCACGAGGGAGGCCCCGACACCGCGCGGGAGGCCCCGTTGCCACGCGGGAGACTCACCACGCCAGAACGGAGGGTCGGACCCCGGAGTTCCTGACGCTCTTGACGCTCCTGACGTTCCTGGCGCTCCTGGCGCTCCTGACGCTCCTGACGCTCCTGACGCTCCTGGCGCTCCTGGCGCTCCTGACGCTCCTGACGATCCTGACGCCTGGGAGCTTCAGGAGCTTCAGAAGCTTCGGCCTGACGCTCCTGACGCCTCTGACGCTCCTGACGCTGCGGAGCTTCAGGAGCTTCAGGAGCTTCGGAGGGTTGGTGGCACCAGTGCCCCACCTATACGATGATCGGGTGTTCTTCGACCCACTCGCGAACGGGAGGGGGGGTCGGCCGACCCCCACTTGCCCAGGGTGAGCAGGCCTGTGGGACATTTGGCCGCCCCTGTCCCTCTTTCTCGGCGGCGAGCGAGGGGGGGAAGTGAAAAGGAGAAGGCCTTCTCAGAAGGCGGTGGGACTTCTCAGAAACCCTCCGGCCGCCTGAGAAGTGTTTGGTGTGTCTTCGGGGAAGGCTTAGAGCACTTCTCAGACGGCCAGGGGACGTCCGAGCCTTCTGAGAAGGCCTTCTCCTTCTCACTTCCCCCCCGAGCTCGCCGCCGACTTTCCCTCTCTCCAAGAATCCAAGATCCTGTCAGAGGCGCGGGGGGGGGGGCACGAGCTCGCCGACGTACCTCCACGGCTCTCAGAGCCTCGACATCCGCTCTCCATGGCCTCCAAGATGCCCAATACTGCCTGCGACGATGGTTTGAGAGCGGCCCCAACGCGCCACGGAGGCTTCAAAAACTTCCGAGATGGCTCAGGATGGACAAGGAGGCCCCGAGGGTGCCTTAAAAGAGTCCAAAGCGAATCTACTGAAGCCTAAAAGAGGGCCTTAAAAGAGGGTGCCTTAAAGACGGCCTTAAGAAACACAAATCAATGATTTCCCAATCTCGCCTTTTCGGGGTTCTGGAAGCCCGGGACGATTCGAATCCCCCCTGATCGACCCAAGACGGCCGAGGAGGCACCCGAGAGGGCTCTGAGATGGCCCAAAAAGGCTCCAAGACTGCCCAAGAGGCCCGCAAAATGGCCACAAAGATATTCAAGAAAGCCCGAAGAGGAACCCAAGAGGGGAAACTCGTTGGGGCATGTTTGGTCCCCCCCACGAGATGATTCCAAAATCGCTCAAGAGGCCCGCAAGAAACAACCAATGGGCCCCCAAGAAGCCGCGAAGGCCCCCCAAAGGCCCCAAGGAACCCCCAGGAGCCCCAACAAGACTCCCAAGATGCCGCCGCCGAGGCCTCCAAGAGGCCCCCGAGAGGCCCCGCAACAGACGCGGATGACGATGGTGACGAATCAGCAGGCAGTACGGCGGGAATCGCCAAACAACACGTGCCAAAAACGACCACCACTCAGGTGATTTGGAAGCTCGGGGAGGGGAAGGGGAACCAGCGTCTTATTCAATCGACCTCGCATCGGTCAAACCCTCGATCTCACAAAAAACTCACTGTCGATATCACAATCGATTGTACGATCAATAGCACAACAAATAGCACGACCGATATATCTCACAATCAACACGGTTTGACCATCGAGCTCACTAGCGCTATGACCAGCGATCCCACGATCGATCTCATAATCGCCCAGTCGATCTCACCATCGATGACAATCGAATTGGCGGTCGGTCTCAATTTCGGGCTCCTTATCGATCTCGCAACATTAATCATTATCAGTATCACGGTTGGTCTCACGATCAATATCACTATCGATATCACTATCGGTATCACGACCTATATCACGATCGATCTCACTATCGGTCCCGCAATCGATCTCACAATCGATCTCCGATCGATCCCAGTATCGATCTCACTGTCGACCCCACTATAGATACCACGAACGATCCAACTATCGAACTCATGGTAGATCTCACGGTCGATGTCACAACCGATACCACTATCGATATCACAGCTGAACGCACTATCGATCTCGTAGCGGATCTCGCAATCAATCTCTCATCAGATCTCACTATCGATCCCAGAATCGATCACACGATCGGTTTGACCATCGAACGCGCTATCGATATCACAAACGATCCCATGATCGATATCACAACAAATCTCGCTATCCATCTCCCAATCGATCTAACCCTGGATCCGGCAATCGAACTCACAATCGATCTCACATTCGGACCCACTGTCGATCTTTTAGCAGTTCCCACCATCGGTCCCACTGTCGATCCGGCAACCGGTATCGCCATCGATCTCAGTATCGGTCTCACAATCGATCTCGTTACCGATACCACGACACACCCCATTATCGATATCACCAACGATTCCATTATAGACCGCACGATCGATCTCACCATCGATATCACAACAAATCCCACGATCGATATCATAACAGATATCAATTTCGATCTCACAACAGATATTGATAAATCGATTCCACCGCCGCACCACCGACGGGACACCCCGCACCACCGACGGGACACCCCGCGCCATCGACGGGACACCGCCGCTCCACCGACGGGGCGCCGCCGCGCCACCGACGGGGCACCGCCGCGCCATCGACGGGACGCCCCCGGCCACCGCGCGCTGGGGGGGCGGGCACTCCGCTCCACATCCCCTGGCCACGGCGGCATCTTTCGTCTCGCGCGCCGACGCAGTTTCGCGTCGCCCGCGCGCGACACGAACGCGAAACCGAAACCGATTTCCCGGCGCGGGGCTCTCCGCCCCGCTGCGACCCCCCCTTCGCCCCCGACGAAATCGGAAGCCGCGCGCCCCCCTCCCAAGGGTCGGCGGCGCGAAGCAATCTCCTTGAATGTAGGAGGCGAAGGGGAAGGAGGGGGGATGATAGGCAAGGTGGGGGAGGCGACGGAAGGAGGGAAGAAACCTAAACCGCCCTGACTGGCGCCTAGATCGTTTGAATCTGGCACCTAGAGCGCGGCCGTTTCCGGGCCAACGGGCCTCGACGCAACGCGGCCCTGAGCTGACGGGGACTTACCTTCCCCAGGAAGGAATGCCCGACGAGAGTGGCCGCATGGCATTGTTGTATTGTTTCCATATTGGAACAATATTGGGCCATGTTGGGGCCACAAGTATCATATTTGAGTCATTGGATCATTTCGGGATCGACTCGGCGTCGCGCGGCGCGTCTTGCTCCGTCTTTGCGCTGCGAGAGTTTTTATCGGGGTCGCGTCGGGTTCGCGTGGGCCACCTTGGGGTCATCTTGGATTCGCGGATTCGCTCGGGCACTGCACTCGGGCCACAAAGTTTGCGTCGTCGGCGGGTCCTGTTGGGGTCGTCTTTGGACCGTCGCGGGGCCGCGGTGGATCGCGATTTTGTCAGGGGGCCATTTTGGTGTCGCGCGAAGGTCCAGGGGCCGCCCCAGGACCGCGGTGTCGCGTGAAGGTCGCCATGAGTCCGCGCTGCGGTCGCGGGCCGCGACGAACCCGCCCCCCGCCCGCCATCCCACGCGGGAAGAGGGCAACCGAGCTGCGCGATCACCGGCTGGCGGCGCGGGGTCGGTGTTCTGACCTCGGCGACGGCATCGACGCTCGCGAGGGTCGCAGGGCGTTCGGCGCCCGCGGGCAGTGCCGAGATGGCCAAATGGCTACGGGGCGATTAACAGAAAAAAGGGACCCAGGAAGGACGGGCGGCGAGGGGGGCGAGGAGAAGGGGGCGGAGGAGGAGGAGGAGCAAGCAAGAGGAAGAGGAGGAAACGGAGGACGACGGCACATATGGAGACACCAGGAGGAGGAGGAGGAGGAGGAGGAGGAGGAGGAGGAGGAGGAGGAGGAGGAAGAGGAGGAGGAGGAGGAGGAGGAGGAGGAGGAGGAGGAGGAGGAGGAGGAAGAGGGGGCGGGGCAGGAAGTGGACCAGGAGGGGGGGCAACGCGGGAACGAGGGGCTAGAGGAAGGGAAGAAGATAACGAAGAGGACGAATAGAAAACGGAAGACTTGAAGGAGTGGGGGGCATGAAGAGGCTGAAGACAAGGGCGAATTGGCAGGTTGTCGCTTGCCCCCGAGGTACCTGGCGGCCTCAAGAGGCCCCCGGAAGCCCATACATCGTCATAAACTTAAGGCAATCTACCAACAACAATCAAAACTAATCAGAACACTCGACCCCCGATCCTCGAGCGTCGGGGCGTCGATGCTGCCTCTGCCGCTGCTGCTGGATGCTGCCTCTGCCGCTGCTGTTGTTGCTGCTCTTCTCGCCAGTGTTGTTTCTTATGATGTTGGCTTCACGCTATGATGCTCCTCTTGTTGCGCTTGATGCTGATGTACCACCCTCCAGAACAAGACAACTTCATGCACGTAGGCATTGGTCTATGGGTATGTTTGGGATCGTTGCGACGCCGCATTGAGGTCGTTACGTTTTGAGATCAGTTTGAAATCAGATTGGGGCCATCCAGGGAGTCTTTCGGAGGTGATGCATCGAGGACCGAAGAACCCACACAGGGCTTCGAGGATTGTCGACTGCGGATAGAAGATACAGGATAGCATCGGGGATGGAGCATCGCGGGTCGACGATCGAGGTGCAAGAATCGAACATCGCGTATTGAACATCACGGGTCGAACATCGAGGAACGAGCATCGCAGATCGAGCATCGAGGGTCGAATCCCACTAGCCCTGTAGAGCGTGAGGTGGTCGAGTTAGGGAGCTCACTCTTCCTTCTTCTTAAACAGCCCCTCTCCCTACCCTCTCCCCGAGACCCTGCCGCAAGAACCCTACGATACCTTGCAAAACCCCTCTGCAAGGCCCCTGCGAAGACCACTACAATACCTTGCAAAGATCCTGCAAAGACCCTTGCAATACCCTGCAATGACAGTGCAATGCCCCGCAATGACCCTGCAATCCCAAAAGCCCTCCGGGCGTGGGTCGTTGAAGGGATTCTCCCTTCCAGCCCCATCATACAATATATACAAGTGGCACGTCACGTGCGTGCCCAAGCCCCGAGAGGGCCTCCAAAAGGCCTCAAGGGTGACCAGAAGGACTCCAAGAGGGCCCGAGAGGCTTTGGGAGAGCCCCAAGGGGACCCCACAGTGACCCCCACGAGGGCCCCAAGAGGCCCCCCCGACGGATGCTACAACAGGGGTGTGCTTTTGCGTGCGTTGTAGCATCCGTTGGGGGGCCTCTTGGGGGGCGGGTGGGTGGGGTGGGGGGGGGGGAACAGTGAGGAGGGATGCGGGGAGCGGGAGCTGGGAGAGGGAGCGGAGGGCGGGCAAGCAGGGAGTGGAGGAGAGAGGAACAGAGAGAAAGGATGGGGCGGAGGGGAGGCTGGGGAAGGAGGGAGCGGGGCGGGAGGCGGGGAGGCGAGGAAGGGGGGGGGGGCAGGGAAGGTGCGAGGAAGGAGGGAGGAGGGGGAGGGCGGGCGGGGGGCCGCCGTCCTCTGCTGCATGTTCTCGTACATGGGCTGGAAGTGCCTCGGCGGCACAAGGCGAGCCCTCCTCGTGCTGCTCCGCCTCACCCCCTTCCCCTCCTGATCCTACTCCTCCAGTGCTGTTCTTCATTTGTCCTTCCTCCTCCCCCTCTGGGACAAAGTCTGGTGGAACCGAATCGGTTTCGGAAACGCTTCGGATAGTCCGAATGCCACGAGTATTCGGGTCCCTCCAAGCAAAGGGTCCCTGGCCCCTCCTGCTCGGCAACTCCCCGTAATATTTTTTACACTGGCGGCAAGCTCATCCGGTGGCCGGTGCCATCCGCGAGTTGATCTCAAGATGTGGCGACTCCTCAGCGCCGCGCTCATTCGTCCCCTCAGGGCTTCCATCTGCTACACTGGTGGAACACATGTCTTTTTCAGCACGCAGCTCTCGCCCCGGGGCCGCGCGCATTGATTGCTGAAGTTCCCAACGGCTCCGCCTCCTCCTCTTCCTCCTTCTTCCCCCCAAGAGAGTCCCAGGAGGTTCGGGCGCTGGCAGAACTGGGTTTAGTGGGACCTGGTTTAGCGATGTGTACTGGGGGACGCCCTCCCGCCCCATTCCACTAACCGGAACTGCCGTCACCCGGAAAAGCACAAGCTACGGCAGACCTGGCTTAGTGATTCTGGCCCACTTCGGGGCTCCAGGGCCCTACCACTAACCGGGTCCCCTTACCTGCTGGACCCCGCGCACCACGTGTTTTAGACAGGGGCATACTCGCAGTCCCCCTGGGGCGGGTCAGGGGGTCGACCCATCTCTCGCCGACGTGCCGGCAGCGATTTCCAACCCGAACAAGCACGAAATTGAGGCGAAACACTTAAATTCGTCGTTGTTTGTTTCACCACGCTCCGCAGCTCAACGAATTGTCTTCACGTGTTTCTGATAAGAAACCCAGTGTCTTGAGGCCTGCTCAGGAACGCCAGTTCGCCGCGAACATCGCAAACACATACGTCGTGAAAACTAGACTGGTAACGTCCTCATACACCCACTTTCCCACCGTTTCCTCCTCTTCCGTCTCCCCCATGTCTCCTCCTTCCTCCTGGTTGTCCTCCTCATGTTTCCCTTCTCCTTTCTCCTCCTTGTTCTCATCATCCTCCCCACTGCTCACTGCTCATCAGCATGTCTCCTCCTCAGCCTCCCCCATCCTCCTACCCCCTCTCGTCCTCCACCAGCGGAGGCGGCGGCAACAGCGGCAGCAGCGACGCTGCCACGCGGCGGCGGCGACGTCGATGACGGACGGCAATGCAATAAGGACGGATGGTAAGGGCGCAAGACCCTTGGAAACCGAAGTTGGGATTTGGTTGGGCACCCTGAGCAACGGGTACCGCGAGCACAGGCAAGGGCGCAAAGGTACCTTGTGCAGAGTCGCGCGTCCTTATTAGATTGGCGAACTGTTGGAGGAGGGAAAAAGGGAGAATGATCATGAGCACGAGTAGCAGCAGCAGCAGAAGGAGGAGGAAGGAAATCAGGAGGAGGAACTGGAGGAGGTGCACCAGCAGCAGGCGGAGGGGGAGAGGAGGGCGACGACCGTGACAGCGAGGAGAAGCCGTTTCGGATTTTAGCCGAACGAGCATCGATAATTCAGTTGGCCACGTATTGTTGATAGCGCGTGGCGTCGCTATTCCTATTCCATTGTCCATGCCTAGAGGCGGGCCGTTCTGGTGCACACGCGCACGGGCTAGAGGCTCTAAACACAACTCCTCTTGCAAAGATAGGCTGTCGCTGGGATGTGGGAGATCGCGACCCATCGCCAGCATTCCACGGGGCATACAGAACGGCCTTAGAAAACGGCACGCCTGCGCGTAATTCGGCGGTGGACAAACCTCCCTTTAGTTGACCTCCCCTTAGTGAAAACGGCCCGGGACCGAAACCGACGGACCTGGACCCGCAAAAATGACGGCCGCGACGCCCTCTCGCGAACCGAAAACGGCAAAATCCTGAGTCGACGTGTCAGGGTAGGAGGTCTGTCCACCCCCGAGTAATTGAGACGAACGCAATCATCCCCCAACTACCCTTCATTATGTAATAACATAGAGGGTGTCTCATTCCGGGGGGGGGGGTCTCCTTCAGGCCGCATTGGATGGCTTCGAGGGGGGGGGGCTGGGGACACGGTTTGGGGAGAGGTTCTCCCACGGAGGGGTCTGAAATGGCTTGCCTTGGAGGGATCAGACCCCCCTCCCTTAATTACGGAACCAGAGGTAACATCGTGCCCTCATCTGTATATCCTCTTCCTCACCATCCTCCCCCTTCCCCCTCCTCCTTCTCCTCCTCCCCCCCCTCCCATCCTTCTTCGCCTTCTCCTCCTTCTCCTCTAATATGCTACTCCACCGCCCGTTCTTCTCTTCCCGTCCTCCCCCTCCCCCCTCCTTCTCTTTCTCCTCCACCGTCCCCCCCTCCTCCTTCGTCACAGGGCGTGCCAACTATGCACGTGCATCGGGGGCAGCGCCAGCCGCCGATTCGTCTCCGACTGCAGCCACCGCGGCCGTGTCAGCCGCGGCCGCGGCCGCCGGGGCCGGGGCGTCGGTGGCCGGGGCGTCGGCGGCTGGAGCGTCGGCCGCCGCCGCGGCCGCAGCTGGGGCCGCAGCCGGGGCCTCAGGGGCCGCCGCTGCCGCCGCGGCCGCCGCGGCCGCCGGGGCCTCCGCGGCCGGGGCGTCGGCCACCGCCGCGGCGGGCGCGGGGCCAACGGGGGGCGCCGCGACCGGCCTGCGCCGCTTCGCCGGCGGCGGCGGCGGCCGCATGTCGGAGGGGCCAGGCGCAGGCTCGGCCGCCGCCGCCTTCTCCTCCAGCTCCTGTAGAGAAGGCACGGGCGCAAGCCGAAGAGGCGGGGAGGAAAAGGGGGACAAGCAGGAAGAAGAGGAGGAGGAGGCGGAGGAGGAGGACGAGGAGCAGCATCAGCAGAAGAAGAAGAAAAATAATCAGGACGACACGGAGGAGGTGTGATATGGAATATGGAGGAGGAGACGGAAAAGGGGGGGTGAGAAGGAGGAGAATGAGAAAGAATAGGAGGGGCAAGATAAGCAGGACCAGGAGAAGGACGAGCAAGAGAAGCAGGACAAGGGCAGGGCGGAGAGGGAAGAGGAGGAGAAGGAGAAGGGTGGGGCAGGAGGAGCAACGTGGCACCGTGACCTGCATCTGCGTTTGGGCGTAACGCTGGACGCAGGCTGGCAGGTGCTGAATGGCGATGCGCTGCGTCCTGTCGTCGGAGATGCCCTTGTTCAGGGCGCGCATCGCCTTCCTGATCAGGCCGTGCTGGGACTCGCCATCACGAAGTGGCCTCGTGCATGCCAGCATCGCGAGGACAGTGCCTCCCAGGAAGACTCCAGGGCCAGAATGGCCAGGCACAGTGCCGAGTGACACCCGGGACGAGGCGCGGGAGGACAACGGAAAGGATGAGAAGGAAAAGGACGATGAGCGGAAGGAGGAGGACGCGGAGGAGGATTGAAGCTCGCTGAGGGGCAGCGAGCGCGATCTGTGTTTCTGGGGCGACGGGGGAGAGGGCAATGCTCAGGTTGGGCAAGAGCAAGCATGAGCAGCCCACTCGTCTGTAAGAGCAAACCTGGAAACTGAGCTTCTCGCGAAGGGCGGCTGGAAGGATTGCCGTTGACCGTTGACCGACCAAGCGCGCCCGCCGAGCGCACGGGGATCTGGCCCTCGAATCAGCGTTGCCCCCCCCCCCCCCCCAGCGACCTTCAAGAGGAGGGCGAGGAGGGCGCGGAAGAGGAGGCGGAGGAGGAGGGGGAAGAGCCCGAGGAGGAGGAGGAGGAAGAAGGGGAGGAGGAAAAGCACGATGAGGAGGAGGAGGAGGACGACAACGAGGAGGCCGACGAGCAGGACAAGGTGGCGACGACGAACCAGGACAGGAGACGCCTGACAAGCCGCCGGCCCGGATGATGCTCTCGCGGGAGCCCACGGGGTCCGACGCCTCGCCGAAGAGCTCGCGCAGCATGGCCCTCACCTAGGGCGGCGAAACAGGCGAAAGGAACATGCAATCTGAATGCGGTCGCAAGAAAGTGGATCACGAACGCGAGCCCCGCCGCCGAAAGCCGAACGACGCGGGCCCCGAGGTTGGGGGGGCAAACACCCGAGAACATTAAAGCACCCTGCCCGAGCCAAGGTTGTCAGTATTTTGGTTCAAACGGTCAGATACACAGTCGGGAACTGTCGGATAACGCATCGCACCTCCGGTTGGGGCCCACCGTCGTTAAGTGCGACACGCTATCGCCACCCCGACCTCCGAAGACCCACCCCCCGAGCCGATCGGGGCATCTGGCCCGCGAACAAGTGCGACGCACTATCCCCTTTGCGGCGATGGCGCGTCGGCGATAGCGTGTCGCAGGGGCCGCTGGAGCGACGCGTTATCCACGAGTTCCCGACCGTAAGAGGGCGGCGGGCGGGCGGAAATTTGGGGAGAGCGACGGAGAGAGGGCGGGGAGAGGCAGAGGGCGAGTGGTAAGGGAGGGAGTGGAGCACAAGTGAGAGGGAGGGATGGGGAGATCAAGGGGGAGAGGGCAGGGGAGACGGGGGGTGAAAGGGCAGCGAGAGGATGTGGTGACAGTTGCGTAGGCCGTCCAACCTTCGAACAAGCCTCGTCCCTCAAGGTCTTCACTGCGTCGACCAGGGCCTTGGCCTCGGCGCAGGAAACGATGGCGAAGACGTCGCCTGGGGCGGCACATGACAACCCTCCTTCTCCTACTCCTCCTTCTCCTCCTCATCATCATTATCCTCATATTCCTCCTCATCGTCCTCCTCCTTCTCCTACTCCTACTCAACCGTATCCTCCTTCTCCGTCTCCCTTCTCTTCTCCTCATCCTTCTCCTCCTCCTACTCATACCCCCTACTCCTCCTCATCGTGCTCCTCCTCCACCTCGCCACTCTCCCTTTCATCGTTCGCCCTGGCTCACCGATCGGCTCGATGTCGAGGACGTCCTCCGCGTTGACGCACTTCTGCCAGGCGTCGTACAGCGGCTTGCCGGCCGCGTTGATGAACACACCCGCGACGGCCTCCA